GAATTTTTACAACTCAACAAGATAAATAATAATAATTTTAAATAAATAATTTTAAAAGTAGGCAAAGGATCTGAAAAGATTTCTCCAAAGAAGATATAAATTTAAAAAATGCTCTTAGTCTTCAAGGAAATGAAAAATCAAAACCACAATGAGATACCACTTCACACCCAAAAGGATGGTTAAAATCAGGACAGATAACAAGTGTTGTCAAAGATATGGACAAATTGGAACTGTCCTACACTGCTGGTGGGACAGCAAGTTACCATTTGACCCACCAATTCCACTCCTATGCATACACCCAAGAAAAGTAAACATGTCCACACAAAAATGTGTACACAATTATTTATAGCAGCATTGTTCACAGTAGCCAAAAAGTGGAAACAAACCAATGCCCACCAACTGATGAATGAATAAACAAAATTTATATTTTGTATATCTTATAAAATAGAATATTACTTGGTCACAAAGTATTGGTATAGATCAGTGATGGCAAACCTTTTGAGCTCGGCGTGTCAGCATTTTGAAAAACCCTAACTTAACTCTGGTGCCGTGTCACATATAGAAATTTTTTGATATTTGCAACCATAGTAAAACAAAGACTTATATTTTTGATATTTATTTTATATATTTAAATGCCATTTAGCAAAGAAAAATCAACCAAAAAAATGAGTTCGCGTGTCACCTCTGACACGTGTGTCATAGGTTCGCCATCACTGGTATAGATGAACCTTGAAAACATTAAGCTAAGTGAAAGAAGCCAGTCATAAAGGACCACAAGTTGAATGACACCTTTATATGCACTATTTAGAACAGGCAGAGAAGAAGCAGTAGTGGTTGCTTAGAGCTAGGGGTGGGAGGGATGGAGAGACAGAGGATGGTAGCTAAAGAGTAGGAATTTGTTTTTGAGTTGAAGAAATGTTCTAAAACTGATTATGGTGATGGTTGCACTTGTGAATCTAGTAAATACTACTGAATTGTACACTTTAAGCAGGTAAACTGTATGGCATATAAGTTATACCTCAATAAAGCTGTTATAGAAAAAAGGAAAAAGAGGAAATATCTGAGATGCAAGAATGTTGGATAAGATATGGGCAAACATGTGATAGGCCTAAACAAACACCTGTGTAAAATAAGACTGTGTATTGTGATTTTAAAAAAGAATAAGACAAATAGAATCGCAGACAATAACTGCATGCATGTTGGGAGAGATCATGGAATTAAAGTATCCCAATTCCTTCCCTTGCCAGTGTAGCCGTGGTTTGGGGTTGGTTAAGTCATTAATTAACTTTAGACTTTAAATATCCATGGTCAAATTGAATAAGTAATCACTAAAATAATAAAAAAATGTGTAAATTCCAAACTTGTAAAAAAATGGAATATAAAAACTAAAAGCAAAAGTGAATAGAGGTCAGCAGCACTCTATGGGCTGGGCACCAAATCCAGCCCGCCACCTGTTTTTCGCAAAGAAAGTTTTACTGGAACACACTGTGCTTGTTTGTTTGTCTCTGGCTCCTTCTAAGTGACAATGGCAGCGTCCAGATGGCCTACAAAGTCTAAAACACTTACTATCCGGCCCTTTGTAGAAAAACTCTGCCGACTCCTGCTACAGAATACTATACACTCTGGGCTGTTTCCTGAGCATGGGAATAAAGACAGCACCTCCTCCTCTCTCACTTCACCAGAGGTACATCAGATAAACAGCCTTCAAGAAAGAACTTCAACATCTGTGGCCAATGGATGTTCTCCACCTGCTCCCCAGCTCCCACTGCTCCCCAGCTCTCTTCTGATTTAGCCTCTAGACCAGCGGTTCTCAACCTGTGGGTCACGACCCCTTTGGTGATCGAACGACCCTTTCACAGGGGTAGCCTAAGACCATTCTGCATATCAGATATTTACATTATGATTCATAACAGTAGCAACATTAGTTATGAAGTAGCAATGAAAATAATTTTATGGTTGGGTCACAACATGAGGAACTTTATTTAAAGGGCCAGAAGGTTGAGAAGCACTGCTCTAGACTCTAGCTCCCTCAGACAAATAGCACAGAGCTCTTAGCCGTGTGTCATTCAACTCAAGCTAGCAAGCAGCACTGTAAAGTGGGCAATCCCCAAATGGTGTGAGCGTGTATGTGTGTGCATGTGTGTAAAGTTCTGAAAAGACACTGACATACTGTTAACCATGGATATCAACTGCTTGGGCAGAAATACGGCCACATGTTATACAATGTGCTCACTGCTTGATCTTTTCATTAAACAGTTTGTTTAGAGATAAGTGTAGGTTCACATGCAGCCATGAGAAACAAGGCAGAGATCCTGAGTGCCCTTTACCCAGCCCTGTGGTGACGTCTTGCAGAAATGATTGAATACAGTCTCACAGCCAGGAGAGTGACCCTGAACAGTGCTCCATCTCCTGCCCATCTCCAGAGTTCTGCACGTACCATTGTGCGTGTGTGCACGTGTGTGCATGTGTGTGATCAAACATGCAGTTCGTGCACCCACCAACTCAGTAAAGTTAGAGAGCAGTCCTACACAGCAAGAATCCCTTGAGTAGGCCTTTTATACTCACACTCACTTCCTCCTCCCTCCTCCCCAACCCACAGCAATGACCCATCTCTGTCATTGCAAATGTGTCACCTATGCCTGGCTGGTGTAGCTCAGTGGTTAAGAGTCCACCCAGGAACCAGGAGGTCATGGTTCGATTCCCAGTCAGGGCACATGCCCGGGTTGCGGGCTCGATCCCAGGTTGTAGGGGATGTACAGGAGGCAGCTGACCAATGATTCTCTCTCATTGTTGATGCTTCATTCTCTCTCTCCCTCTCCCTTCCTCTCCTGGAAATAAAAAAAAAACATCCTATCTAATAAAAGGGTAATATGCGAATTAACCGTCACTCCGTCACAAAGATGGCGGCGCCCATAGCCACAAGATGGCGGCACCCAGTCCCTTCAGCCCCGCCGCTGGAGTGTTCGGTACTGTCAGCCCTGCTTGCCCCTCACTGAGAGCAGACACCAGGGCCCTGCTTGCCCCTGGCCGCGGCGGTGAGCCAGAGAGCAGACACCAGGGCCCTGCTTACCCCTGGCCGCGGCGGTGAGCCAGAGAGCAGACACCAGGGCCCTGCTTACCCCTGGCCGTGGCGGTGAGCCAGAGAGCAGACACCAGGGCCCTGCTTGCCCCTGGCCACAGCAGCGAGCCAGAGAGCAGACACCAGGGCCCTGCTTACTCCTGGCCGCGGCGGTGAGCCAGAGAGCAGACACCAGGGCCCTGCTTACCCCTGGCCGCGGCGGTGAGCCAGAGAGCAGACAGGCAGGCAGGTCGGCAGAGAAGAGAGAACCACGGGGAGCGGGCCTAAGACATGAGTAGGACATCCTCTTAGGGCTCCCAGATTGGAGAGGGTACAGGTCAGGCTGAGGGACACCCCCGCCCCCCGCCCCGTGCATGAATTTTGTGCACCGGGCCTCTAGTATGTATATATTTTTAAAGTCACCTAAACAGAATCACAGTGTGTGACTGGTTGTGGTTGGCTTTTGTCAGTCAGCAAGATTCCCGGGGGGTTCCCCAAGTGCTGTGTGTATCTGGAGTTCATTCCTTTTCACTGCTCAGCAATGCGTTCAGGCAACCTGCTGTAGGTCACCTGCTGACACCAGGGCTGAGTCCAGATTCTAGCCTGGATTCTGGGCATGCATGAGTCTCCTGTCCTCAGAGAAGTGCCAGTGGGGTCACAGGCTGCCTGCACGGGTAATTTTGTATGAAGCTGCAATAGTGTTTCCCCGAGGGGCTGGTGTGTGTGAGTGACCCTGCTTCTCTGCATCGCACTCAGTGTCCCCGCAATGTGCTGACTTTAGCCATTCTCATTGCTGTGCAAGATTATGTTTACATGAGGTTAAAAAACTGAAATAAAATTAGAAAGTAATCCATGCTTATTTAGTAGGCATTTTGAAATCATAGAAATGGATAAAAAAGGAAGTAAAGTCCTGTTTCCTCTTGAAAAAAGAAGCAATGCTGTTATTTATCCCACAATCAAGAAACGGGTCCGATTCTGTCGCTTGATGCCGAGGCTGAGGCCCACTGTGGTCTCTCGGCTTTGACAGCGTGGCCTTGCAGGGCCCTCCTCGGCCAGACAGCAGTGAGGCCTCGCAGTGGGAACCACACACAAGCACGGGCACCAGGACAGGCCGTCCCGGCACCAGGGCCGCCGCCGGTGCACACAGGAGGTCAGCACTTTGCTCCTGCCTCTGTCACCTCCCATTTCAGCATCTACACCACCTGACAGCCCAGTGCAGCCCATGGATGCCTCTCAGAATAACATCTTTCAATGCAGAAAATAAAGGACAGAGGTGACCCTATCAGACACAATTTTTAAAACAAATGTGTTACCCAGAACTACAGAACCAAACCTCAGAATGAGGACTGCACAGCTTCCATGAAGCTTCGGCAGCAGCTGCAGTGTGAAATGAAAGGTCTGATTTCTCGGTGCAGTCGGGGTCCTGTTCACCTCATAGATGTCATTGCCATATTCATATGGAAGGAAATGCTAACTTAGTAAAAGATATATTTTTCTACCTAGTTCCATGGAGGTTCTGAATTCCCTGGTTTGACAGAACCAGAAAGAACAGGACTAGGCCTCTTCCCTAAAAGTTTCTCCCATGCTCCCCTGGGCCTGAGTTGCAGAGGAAGAAAGCCCCCCACCCAGCCCAGGGCGGGTCCGGACCCCAGGGAGGCCACAAGAGGGCGGCTGGGGCCAGCCAGTACCCCAGCTTCTCAAAAGGAAGCGAAGAGAGGTGGCCGCAGCCCCGGGCCCCGGCATGGGGTGCGGAGACAGCTGGGGCTAGACTGGAGCCACCTGAACCAGCCTCCCAGGCCAGTCCGTACGGGGACAGCCTCAGCCATGCTTCTTTACAGTCCCCGATTTCTGCCTCAACCGCCAGGAAACGTTTCTCAGGAAAGCCCAGCTCAGTGTGAGAGCCTAAGGAGCACCCGGTGCGCTTCCGGAAAGGCCTGCTCACCTTGGTCAGCGCAAAGGCCACTGTCCCGTCGTCCTCCGTGGAAAGGTCGAGCAGCTTCTGGTAAAACGCTTCATCATACGGCCCATCGATCTGCAATGCTTTCCTGAAGGGAAGGGACGGAAATAAGATGCCACAGACACAGGGACTGTTTCTTAAACTGCTAACAGCTTAGCAACCACACCTCTGGCTCAAAGGGCTCCTCCTCCTCCAAGTCTACACTTTGCCCTGAAGACCCTGCAAGACCAGAGCCTGGGAGCTGAGCTGAACACGTCCTGATCCTAACACACGGCGTCCAGTCAGAGCCCGTGTGAAGGGAGAGTGGGAGGCAGGTGCCGCCTGCCGCCCCGCCTGTGTGGGCCCAGCCACCCCGACTGGTGGGCACAGGGAAGCCTGAGGCAGAGGCTGCCGGGCAGACAGGCTGCTGCTGTGGAGCAGCACTGCCCCCTGCAGCTCAGCCCTGACTCAGGACCCAGAGCCGCGGCTGTGGACTGTCCAACCCCCAGGACGTGCTGCTTTTCCAGAAACTGACCCCACAGCACCATCCTGGGGCGGGCCTGCATCTGAAGGGACGGAGGGAAGGCAGCTGGGTCAGCCTCCTGGGAGCCCTGTGCTGTCCTCCACTGGAGAACCCTAACCCTCACCCCATCTCACCCTCAGAGCTGCTCAGGGGTCCCACCTGGACCCAGAGGGGCAGGGGTACCGCAGGCCAAGCCTCACCTCTGCTCAGGAAACTCCTCCAGGTACCGCTCAACCCGTCGGTACAGAGGGTAGAGGCCTTCGATGTCCAGCAGGTCCAACATCTGCACCTGAAGGGTTTGGTACAGAAGACAGCCCTTCGGCAACCCCGAGTGCTCCAGGCTGCTTTTTCCTAACAAGAACATCCGGGGAGAAGGAGGGTTACTGTCAAGGACTGATGTCGGCAGCAGGCACAGGCTGCCCGCTTCAGAGGTGCTGGGCTGCAGGCACGTGCACAGGGCCAGGTGACCCACATCTCGCTCTGTGCCTCTCTTCCCTTGCAGCATCCGTCAACTCCATCACACCAACCCAGAGCTGTTTAGAGAGATGGCTCTCAGATAAGGCACAACATTTAAAGTGACCATGTTAACAGCCCCAAATGTGAGAGAGCATGTCTGTGGAGCTCCGACCCACAGCCCACGTGGAGAAGAGGTGGCACGCGGAGGGTGGTGGTTTAGGTTGTGCCTGGGTGACCTCACTTCTAACAGTCACCCACAGCCCCACCAGAACTCAGACCGCAGCAAAACCGCAGTTTCCTCTTCCTAGTCAGCTCCTCATGCCACAGACCTGAGCTGCTGGCGGATGACACAGGGGCAAACGAGGAGCGTGGGGACACTCAGGACAAAAATTCAAGCTAGCCACCTGGAAGCCCAGAGGCCACCGAGTCACAGCCAGCTCCTGGTGAGTCTGTGAGGAACAGGCCCTCAAGCAGGGAGCGCCCAGAGCCAGGAGCCCTGCACCTGCTGGCCCTGCACCTTCCCCTCCCCCTGCAAAGGGCCTGCACTGTGGGGCTCCAACTTCTGTGCCTAAGAACAGGCCGAGGAAGCCTGCCCCAGCTTCACAAAGAGGATGGATCAGGAGGACGTGGAAAAAGCACTCAGCAAACACTGACACGGTGGACAGTGATGTAGGAAAGATCTGGGCTGCCATGTACACACCCACGTCGGAGATGAGAAGGGAGCCTCCCCACCTAGGGCTCAGAGGCAGGGAGGCTGGCTCTGGGGAGGCCTGTGGGGCCCGGACTGCTCCTGCAGAAGCTCCGTGAGACCAGGCAGGACCCCATCAGGCGACGCCGGGCTCTGCCCACCTGCCAGCCTACCTTGGTGACGCAGGCTCCTGCTGAAGGGGCTGGCTTCACAGACACAAGGCCCTGGGGACCCAGGCCCCAACTTCAGGGCACTTGCCCGGCCCTTGTCCGAGCCACTGAGCAGCACCCGCGTGATGACGCGCACCAGCTCCCGGATCACGGCCCTCGCGCAGTGGGGCCCGCTGGCCAGGCCGTTGGACGGGTAGAAGAACGGCTTCAGGTGATGTGCCAGCTCCCGCCAGTCAACTGCGGGGCTGCGGGCATCTTTGCAGCCATAAATCAGCTCCCCATTCTGCAGGAAAGAAACAGGACAGGCAGGCAAAGGGACCGAACATCAACCAGTGCCCATTGGGGCCTGCACACAGTGCTGCGGTGGTGGGGAGCCCACTCTCGCGCACCCTGTCACGGACCAAAAGGCAAGTCCCACTGGAAGGTAGGATAGAAGAAAAGCTCTAAAAACGGGAGACCGGAGTCCTGAACCGAAGTACAAACCCTCAGGCCAGACACAGAGCGCACTGGCCGCCGGGACTGCAGAGGCAGGGACACTGTCTCCTGAGACACTGTCCGTCAGGCCTGAGCAGAGGAACTGCGAGGCAGTGTAGACGCTGTGGATGGCCAGTTCTGCAGAACTCTGTCCTCTGCGAAAGGCTGGGCCAGGTCCCGCCAGGGTGGGTGTGAAACCCTCGCCTTAGAGGCCATCCTGCCTTCTAAACCAAATCCAGCAAAGAAACCCCTGTGGTACCGGTGTTCACAGGCTGCTGACAGGAACCCCCCGTGGGCCTAGCCCATGACTTTTACGGGGTCTACACCAAGCCTGTCAAACTCACGGCCCACGGGCTGCATGCGGCCCACAACGAATATTTTTGCCGCCCAGCCAATTTAACGGTATGTAAGAAACGTTTTAATAAAAATTTCGTGACTTAATTTTTACAATATCCTGTTATACATAATTATTAATAACGAACTACAACGTTTGCTAATGACTGGTTACTATAATTGGGTTGCATTCATTTCCCTTACACAGCTTACGCGCAGGCGCACCATTTCTTTCCACTAATACTAGCAGCGAATATTTTAGCAGCCGATGGCCACGTCATTAGTCTTGGACTGACTTGTTTAATGTGCGCAACAGGAAACATTTCGCTTTTGGAGAACAAGAAAAATAGGTTTATTTGTGTCACGCTTATTAATTTGTGAAGTTATTCAGTATCTGGTAAGTTAATGTTCAAGAAAAAATATTAATTATGGGGGGAAAAAAGGACACTTATGTAATACCCTTTGTAATACTTTTAGCGAAAAATAAAAAATAAAATTAAATTAAAAAAAAAATTAATTATTATTAAAATGTTGTTATTTTATGTAAACGATGACTCATTTATTTCAGCCCTTTGTATTCAGCATGTCTCTATCGAAATAAACCTACATTTCTATGAAAACTGAAGCTTTTGTTTTTTTGCAGCCCACATACACCTAAACCTTCTTTATTTGGCCTGTGTTAGCCTTTGAGTTTGACATGCTTGGTCTATGGTGTCTGGTGAAAAGGCCCTAAGAGAACCCTGGTTCCCACCCCGTGAGCAGCAGCCAATCCCACGGGAGTGGAACCTCTTGCCTCGTTTCCTTGCCTGTGAGAAGGTGTGACTAACAGCCTGCAGGATGTGCCCAAAGGCCCATCTCCCTTGATATTCACACCCCGAGGTTCTCTCCACTTTACAGAGGTTTGGTCCATGTGACCAACAGCATAGGGCAGAGTGGCAGCGTGTCCAGCTGTAGTCTTTCATGGATCAGGGATGAAAGGTGCCTGGCTTGCACTGTGGCTCTCTTCTTGGATCACAGCAGCGTGGTTGAAGCCCCGGGAGCTCAGACTGGCTCAGCCAGGGTTTCGCTGGGAGCAGCCTCAGGAGAGACCCTGAGCCAGAGCCGCCCCCGCTGCTCTCCCCGGCAGAGCTGAGGTGTGAGTGCCTGTCATGCAGCAGCAGGGCATACCGACAGGACATTCCGGCTCCGCCCCAGGTGGCCAAGTCAACCCACAGGCGTGCAGACAGGTGTGCCTCCCTCGGCAAAGTCCTGGGAACCAACGCGATGCAGCTTCCCTGGGAGGCCCTGCTGGCACTGCCAGAGCTCAGTGGGTGTCCAAGGTGATGGGGACACAACGAAGGCCACGACCAGCCAAGGCCAGGGAAGCCATAAGAGACACCCTTGAGATGGGCCTTTTGCGGAGCAGGGTGTGCCAGGCAAAGGGCAGGCAGTAGTTCTCAGGAGGAAAACAGGCCAAGAGGATGTGCTGAGCTGGCACCAGGGGGCCGGGACTGAGCCTGAGGCCCAGTGCGAGGCCCAGTGCGGTGGCAGCACTGGCCCGAGAGGCTGGTCCCCCTCCCAGCCCAGGAGGGCTGAGCAAGCCCAGAGGTGGAAGACCTCTTCTCCCCAGCATCTGAAGTCAGAGGGCACGGAGTTTTACCCCCACAGATACAGCTGCTCAAGGACCTCATGTGACTTTTGGAGGAGAGCCATCAACTCAGGCTCCATGTCACTCCACATGTCCCCGCAAAGTTTCACAAATGACCAGTGTTGGGGTGGACAGAGCCACAGTCATGGAGTCTATGAACAACACGTGGACGAACACGAACAGTAGGATGGCGGTGCCGAGTGTGGCCAGGAAACTGCTCCATACCGGGAGCGGCGCGGCACGGAAGGCGAGACCTGCAGCACCTCAGCTTGCTCAGGAGAAGTGATGGCACCTGGGCCGGGTCAGGGTGGCTCACTAGTTGAGCACTGACCCATGAGCAAGAGGTCACAGGATCCATTCCCCATCAGGGCACATGCCTGGGTTGCGGGCTCGATCCCCAGGAGGGAGCGTGCAGGAGGCAGCCGATCAATGTTTCTCTCTCATCCATGTTTCTCTCTATCTAAAGTCAATGAAAACATAAAATTTTAAAAAAGTGACGGCACTTGAGAAAACGGACTGCATTGCTCCAGATGTTATTTTTAAAAGCCATGCTGTGTACCTTCTCTTAATCCATCCCTTTTGAGACAATTCTCCCAAACTCTAGATTTTTTTCATGCTGATGCCAACAGAAGCAGCAGACGGCCCAGGTCTGAGGCCCAGCCTGGGGCGCAGGGCAGGACAAGCTGTCCGGGGCCCAGCTGGCAGGGCAGCCAGAAAGGCCACCTCAGACAGAATGCCAGCCTGACCACAGGTTCCAGATAAGTCCCCCGATGGAAAGAAATCTATCTTCTAATTCAAACATAGAGTTCCTCAAGTCCTTATAAGAATTAAACACACAAACTGACTTTGAGGTCTCCCTTTTCCAGGTTTGGGAAGGCGGATGCCAGCCAGGCCTCAGAGGCACCCAGGCCTGTCCTCACCCCAGACCCAGGTCGGGGCTGATTAGAGCCCAGGCACCTGGGTCAGGGAGCCCACACCCTGGGGGTGAGGCTGCACCTGGGATGCTCTTGGAAGGCCCACCCTGTGTGTCCGCCCGGCTGGGAGCAGAGCAGGATGCACTGCTCAGCCTGGCATGGCGGGCTCCACTGTGGGAGAGCCACAGCACAGAAGCACCTCTTACCTTAAATATCTTCAAGTTGTTCTGTGCCTCCTGCAACAAGCTTTTCAAGGCAAAGTACATTCTCTGCTTATTTCTAAAACGGAAAGGATGATGCGCAGGGTCAGCAGCGGGCCTTGCAGTCCCTGCCTGTGGCCAAGCTGTGGCTGGGGCACCTGGTGCACAGGCTGTGGGTCTCCACTCTCAGGGGAGGAGCACCTTGTCTCCACCCGCCTGGCAAAGCACCCCCGTGACCCCTCACAGGATACCCCCAACCCCTCACAGGACACCCCCATGACTCCTCACAGAACACCCCCAACCACCCCACCTGCAGGGAAGATGGCACTAGGGACAAAGACAGTCTCTTACCCTGAGTAGAGATCGAGGGGACAGTATTTACTGATCTGCTTCCACTTCCCAGTTGCCACCTGTGAAGAAACCACACGTGTCCATGATGGGACTGAGAGCAGCACTGAGGTGACTTTAGCACAAGCTCAAGTGGCTGAGATGATAAGAGTCCCAGCAGGTATCACCACCTCAGGGACACACCCTCACTGGCAGAGGTGGGTGCTTGGCCCTCCTCTGAGGTTCCCATGTGGCTGCCGGCCCAGCCTCTACATGAGCAGGAAGCAGCAGCAAACGCCTTTTTAAAGTGACATGGCCAAATCTGGTAACCAGATAAATAAATCTTTAAAATTATAATATCCAGGTGTGGTTCATAGCAATTTCATGTTGTCAATGAGAAGAAAAATTGGCACAACCTTTTAAAAGGCCACTTGCTGGTTTCCATCAAAATTTAAAAGGTGGGCCCGGCTGGTGCAGCTCAGTGATTGAGTGTCCACCCATGAACCAAGAGGTCACCAGATCGATTCCCAGTCAGGGCGCATGCCCGGGTTTTGGGCTTGATTCTCAGGAGGGAGTGTGTAGGAGGCAGCCAATCAATGATTCTCTCTCATCATTGATGTTTCTATCTCTCTCCTCCTTGTCCCTTCCCTTCTCTAAAATCAATAAAAACAAATTTTAAAAAAATTAAAAATTATCCTGACTTGGCAAATCTACAAGGAATCACAGGTTCAAGGATGTTCACTGCTATATCAATAAGAGCAAGACCTAGAAACAACTAAGTAAATCATAGTACACTAGAGGCCCGGTGCACAAAAATTTGTGCACTCGGGGGGGCGGGGGGTCCCTCAGCCCGGCCTGTGCCCTGTCGCAGTCTGGGACCCCTCGGGGGTGACCACCTGCTGGCTTAGGCCTGCCCCCTGGGGGAGCGGGCCTAAGCTGGCAGTCAGACATCCCTCTGGCAGCCCGGGAGCCCTTGGGGGATGTCCACTTGCCAGCGAGGAGTAGGCCTAAGCTGCAGTCGGACATCCTTATTGCTGCTGAGGAGGCGGGAGAGGCTCCCACCACCACCGCTGTACTGGCAGCCGTCAGCCTGGCTTGTGGCTGAGCAGAGCTCCCCCTGTGGGAGCTCACTGACCACCAGGGGGCAGCTCCTGCATTGAGCATCTGCCCCCTAGTGGTCAGTGTGTGTCATAGTGTCATAGTGACCAGTCATTCCCAGTCGTTCTGCTGTTAGGGTCAATTTGCATATTACCCTTTTATTATATAGGAGTGCCTGGCCATACTGGGTGAGGGGACGAGGGCCATTTGCAGGCTGCCACAGCCCCTTCAGTGTGGGGGTCCCCACTTGGGTGCCTGGCCATACTGGGTGAGGGGCTGAGGGCCGTTTGCAGGCTGGCCACAGCCCCTTCAGGGGTGGGGGGTCCCCGCTGGGGTGCCTGGCCAGTCTGGGTGAGGGGCTGATGGCTGTTTGCAGGCTGGCCACAGCCCCTTCAGTGTGGGGGTCCGCACTGGGGTGCCTGGCCATACTGGATGAGGGGCTGAGGGCTGTTTGCAGGCTGGCCACAGCCCCTTCAGGGTGGGGGGTCCCCGCTGGGGTGCCTGGCCAGTCTGGGTGAGGGGCTGATGGCTTTTTGCAGGCTGGCCACAGCCCCTTCAGTGTGGGGGTCCCCACTGGGGTGCCTGGCCATACTGGATGAGGGGCTGAGGGCCGTTTGCAGGCTGGCCACAGCCCCTTCAGGGTGAGGGGTCCTGCTGGGGTGCCTGGCCAGTCTGGGTGAGGGGCTGAGGGCCGTTTGCAGGCTGGCTAAGCCCCCCAACGGGGACCCTCACCCCATGAGGGTGTGGCCAGCCTGGGTGAGGGGCTGATGGCTGTTTGCAGGCTGGCCACAACCCCCAGCCACCCAAGCTCCCAGTGGAGGCTGGCTGGAAGCAGGTATCTGGGATTTGTTTATCTTCTATAATTGAAACTTTATTGCCTTTAGCGGAGGCCACAGCTGGCTCAGGGCTGGCAGGAAGCTTGGCTTCCTCCATTGCCTGGGCAACCAAGCCTCCTGCTTGCTCCAGCTCCATGGCTGCCGGACGCCATCTTGGTTGGGTTAATTTGCATATAGTCTCTCTGATTGGCTGGTGGGCGTGGCTTAGGGCGTAACAAAGTTACGGTCAATTAGCATCTTTGTCTTTATTAGTGTAGATGTGCTCTCATGGGCCAGGACATGACAGGACACATGTTCAGTGAAGGAATGAATAAATGATATGCAGCCACCAAAAGAAAGAGGTAGAACTAAAAATCACCAAAATTTATCCAAGGCAAAAAGCAACTTGCAGAACAAAGCATATGCTATCACTTACTTAATAAAAAAAAAACAACAGCCCTCGCTGGTTTGGCTCAGTGGATAGAGCATCAGCCTGCGGACGGAAGGCTCCAGGGTTCAATTTTGGTCAAGGGCACATGCCCAGGTTGCCAGATCGATCCCCAGTAGGGGGTGTGCAGGAGGCAGCTGATAGATGATTCTCTCTCATCATTGATGTTTCTATCTCTCTCTCCCTCTCCCTTCCTCTCTGAAATCAATAAAAATATATTTAAAAAGAGAGAGAATAAAAAGGATATATGTAGGGATTAAAAATGGTGGTGGATTAAGTGGAAGCTCACAGACATGCTCCCAGGACCAAACTGGAAATACTACTAAAATAGAGAAAAACTTCCTGAATAATCAACTGAAGACCAGCTGGAGAGAACCCTGATAACCAAGGACAGAAAGTGGAGACCACACAGAGACTGGCAGGAGGGGTGGAGGCGCGAAAGGGCTGGCCGGGCGCCCACAGACAGCAGCTGAAGGTCTGGAGAGAGATCTCAGCTGGGGGAGGGGTTGCCACTGAGAACTCTGGGTTCTAAACCCTAAGCTGGGCCCCCCAGCAGAGAGCACCAGAACTGAGAAAGGTGCTCACAGAACATCTGATTCTGAAAAGCAGCAGGGTTGCTGTGGGCCAGGGAGAGACGGCTAGAAATGCAGGGACCCTCTTAAAGGGCCAGTGCACAAAATTCCATGTGCAGCCACTCACCTTGGGCTCTGGCAGAGGAAGGACAGAGTGGACTGGAGCTGAGCAGAAGTCAGGGTTGCGGGCTATGCAGCTAGACCTCAGAAGGTAGACACCCCAGTTTCCTGTACTAAGTCATTCCCTCATGCTGTGGAGGTCATCTTTCTCATACAGACATTTGCTATCCAGGTGTTTTGTACCTGAGGGTTGGGAGGGGGAGACAGTTGGCCCACCCTATTGGAAAGCCCCTTGCTCCACCCTGTGGAGTTTCTGAGGCTCATTAAGAGACTGAGAATAACAATTAGCCTATAGGCAGAAGCAGTTGTCCCACCCTGTTGGAAAACCTTTCACCCAAACTGTGGACAATTGCCTGAGGCTACTCAAGACTGAATCCAATCAGTTTGCAGACAGAGGAGGTTCTCTAGAGGCTTTGAGTCTTTGAATGATCTAATTAGTCAAAACAGCAGTTTGGGTCTCCACCACAGACACCATCCCAGACTGCTCAGAAAAGCAAAAGCCAGCAGGACCCCAAGTGCCTGCAGGTGACACCAGCAGGACCAGCTCCGTGGGGAAGGAAGTACAGCTCAGAACAGGGTCAACCAAGGTGTGAGGCTCAAGGCAGACCCAGCCTCTGGGCTAAGGAGTCCCCGACCACTGGACAGGTGGCAGGAAGACATTGGGGTTGAAACTGGAAGCTAGTCAGAGAGGAGATCCCTCCCACAAACAGACATCAACAATCAAGTCCCAATTATAGGAGAGCCCAAACAATGCACATAAGGAGCATTCCTAGAGCATCCAGCTCAGTTGAACAAAGAGACTACACCACTAGACCCCTTAAGACAACTTCTATGTAAGCCCATCCCACAGACTGAGAGGCATAGCAGTTCTATCTAGTACATAGGAGCAAATATAAAGAGACAGCTAAAATGGGGAGACAAAGAAACAACCCCAAGTGAAAGAAAAGAAGGAATCTCCAGAAAAAAGAACTAAACAAGATGGAGGCAAGAAACCTATCAGAAATAGAGTTCAAAGCAATGGTTATAAAGATGCTTAAGGAACTTAGTGCAAATTACAACAGCATGAGAAGGGAAATAGAGTCCAAGAACCAGACAGAAATGATAATGATATATCTTATGTGAAGAACACCCTAGAAGGGATTAAAAGCAGACTGGATGAAGCAGGGTAAGGAATCAGCAATTTGGAATACAGGTAGAAATGAATACCCATTAGAGCAGCAAATAGAAAAAAGAATCAAAAAGCAGGAAGATAGCTTAAGGGAGCTCTGGGACACCATGAAACATAAAAGCATCCACATTATAGGAATGCCAGAAGGGAAAGAATGTGAGCAAGGAACAGAGAACCTGTTTAAAGAAATAATGACAGAAAATTTCCCCAGCATGGTGAAGGAAAATGTCATACAAGTTCAGGAGGCACGGAGAGTCCCAATCAAGATGAACCCAAAGAGACCCACACCTAGACACATCATAATTAAAATGGCAAATGTTAGCCCTAACCAGTTTGGCTCAGTGGATAGATTATTGGCCTGTGAACTGAAGGGTCCCAAGTTCAATTCTGGTCAAGGGCACATACCTCATTGCAGGCTCCACCCCGGCCTGGGCCCTGGTTGGGGCACATGCAGGAGGCAACCAACTGATGTGTGTATCTCACATCAATATTCCTCTCTGTCTTTCCCTCTCTCTTCCACTCTCTCTAAAAATCAATGGAAAAATATCCTGAGGTAAGGACTAAAAAATAATAAAATGGCAAATGTTAAAGACAAAGAAAGAATCTTAAAGGCAGCAAGAGAGAGAGAAAATTATATACAAAGGAGTTCCCATTAGAACTGACTTCTCAAGAGAAACACTTCAGGCCAGAAGGGAGTGACATGAAGTACTCGAAGAAATGAAAAGCAATGACCTAAATCCAAGACTACTGTATCCAGCGAGGCTATCATATAAAATTGAAGGTGAAATAAAAACTTCCCACAGAATAAGATGTTAAAGGAGTACACTACCACCAAATCAGCAATGCAAGAAATGTTAAAGGG